AGTTTAACCTCTTTTAGGACTTTGGTGACCAATACTATCATCACAAAGAATCTTTACTGCCTTTTAAACTTTAATTTTCATTATTCATTTTTAAATTACTAGTATATTTGACACCCTCAATAATCTAATTCTCCTGGTACCCAGATCTGATGCTGTATGAGGAGTCCTAGACTTGTCACTAGACTTAAACCAATTTTCTTGCTCTTTCAGTATATGCAATGACCTGCAGAGTAAGATAAACAAAACAAAAAAAAACAAACAAAAAACAAAACAAACAAACAAACAAAAAAAGGAAATCAAATAAGATGCATATTTTACCCTAGAACAACATCCAGCAGCATTGTACTACTACGCAAATAACACAAAGAAGTTCCGCAAACCCACATCTGGCAGGACTGGGAATGGAGCCCACACCTCAACCACAACAGTCATCCACACAGCAACCCTACTGCTCAAAATACCAGTCAGACACATAAACTTAGCTCTCCTGTTTGTACCTAGCACTTTGGTGCTACAGGATCATCCACCTTGTCAATCCCACCAACAAAACACGGGCTTTATGGGCAACACTTCATTGCTGTCTAATACAGGTGGGGGTTATGGAGGGCACACAGGAGATCATTTCATTCTATCGGGTTTCTTTTCCTCTTCTTCACAAAATAGTAACCCAGGTGAATTTTTATTTACTTTGTGGTTACTTACTACAGGAAAGAGACATTAAATTAAGAACTGTGCTGGATGGCCAATAGTTCAGAATAGAAATTATACAGATAATCCTGATGGCTCCAGAGTACCAATGGCTGTAACGGTACAATATGAGGAATTTCACTTTCCATTATTATATTTTATGTTGGAAAAAACACACCAACTCACATATAAAGTAGCTTTAGAATGTGTCATAGTTTAAATCTATTTTAGTCTCACAAAGCACAATATAAAGTAAGATACAGGTGTTTCATGTTTAAATCACCTGTCACATATGTCGGTATTACTATTTCAAATAGGAACAGTGAGCACTTTTGAACAGAGAGAGATTGGCGTGATTTTGGGATTGCTTCAAAAAAAGTGCTTTTTTGGCTTTAGCATGAGAAGAGCAAGGGACACACTGACAGCAGTTCCAGAGAGGATCAGATGTTTATCCCCTCAGCTAAGATCAAGTGCAATGGGGTTTTAAAAACTGCATATTGGATTACCCAAACTATCAATTTTCCTAGCAAAAAATAGTATCCTAATAGGCCTTAGGTCTAAGATAAGGAAAAATTGTTCTGATTTTGAACAATCAATAGTCAGATTTGCAACCTTTAAATCAGTTTTTGACAATGCACTGGTCTTCCCTCCACAGAATTATATTCTTAAATAATGGCTGAGAAGAAATATTCCATTTTCACAATCTTTTAAACTGAACATACATCGTAGGAGCTTTGACTACAAACAAAAATGGCACAGTTTACAACAGTAACAGGCCTCCAAATCTTTAAAAAAAAAAAGCTCAAACGAACACTGATTTATAAAATGCAATGCTGAAATAATTTAGTTAGCTAAAACTAACTGCTGAGAAGTACATAAAATTCAAACCAGCCCCACTAATCTAATCAGCAAGAGCAGGAAACGTTGAGGATCCCCATTAACTAATAGAAATATTAAATGTGTACATTATAATGCAAGATTTTCCTTTCTGTCAAGTCTCAAAAGCTCAGGATGATACCAAGAAATAATAACATTTTTTTAAACATACATATATACACACACATATACATACAGAGCATAGCAAAAGCCATGTATATAAAAGAAACTAACCAGTCTGACATATGGGATGTGTGTGATTTAAGCCTGATTCATGAAACAAGCAGCTACAGTTTCTCAAGCTTTCTTGGGGAAAGAGGAGGGAGAAGCAATCCCTTCCCTTCTGTTTTTTCCATTAATTAGAGCCTCAGGAGAGTTCACCTTCCAAACAATCCATTTGAACAAAGTTCCTATAAATCAGTTTTATCTATAAAATCTGCACATTTCCATGTTGCAGAGAAGGTAAGGCTTTTTGAACCACAGTTTAAGCAGACAGGGATAAACTCAATTTGCTCTTTCTTCACAAAAGATTACAACAGCAGACAGAATACAATTCATACTTTCTAAAACTAAACTGAGCCTGTGACTCAAGAGACTGGTGTGGCATCAACAGAGAACAATCTTCTTCCTGAAATAGTCCATTTGCCATCTGTACAACTTACAGTTAGACACAGCAACTCATGCTATGAGAGACCACCCATTTCAGAATGTCTCTAAATATAACACTATGGTAGAAGACATCATCTGTTTTAAGAGTAATGCTCTAATACAGTCCAAACTGGATGCAATATTTCGATACTACCATAACATCAAGCAGTTACCACAGCCTAGCTTTGGGAAGCCAAATACACAGATTCAATTCACTTAGCTTTAAAAGTGAATTAAGCCAATTGTGATTAAGCCAATGTTAAAGATAAAACATCATAAAAGCAAGGAGGTAAATTAAGTTGGATGATAATAGAAGGGAAAAAATTACCCACATTTCATCACTAACAATTTTCCTAGATGCATATCACTGTCACAACAAAAATGTACAACAGCTCTATCTTCAGTTCACTTCTGGGCAAAATTAATTCACAGAACACTGCTAAGTCTCCAGTTACAGAGTCCAGCCCATGCACAGGGGAAGGGAGGATGGAAGGAATCTCAACTATTAGAATACAAACTGCAAAATAATTAGTTGCTCTTGAGAGGGAGAAATGACTCTTCAGAGGGAGAAATGACTCTTCAGAGGCATTGGAGGAAATGAGTCTGGAATTCAAACAACTGTACTGAAGCACTTGGATAGCAAAGTGGAAAAAAATCCAACATATACACTGGTCTAATACAATCCACAATGGTCAAAACAGTATATCATAATCCTTCTCTTTTTTAGTAAATATAAATAGGTAGGAATAACTTCATTTTCTTCACTTTTCCCCTCCTGTCTACAACAATTTGTAACACATAACTATGGGAAAAACTTTGGACCTAGACTACGCAGAGATATATTATCTCCAGCCAAGTACATATAGCCAACGAAAAACCCAAGGAAAAGAACAAAATACACACACAGACAGACACAAAGAAAAATCCACCAGGCAGTCTACTTCATTTCTATCAGACAATGGGAAAATTCATATGCTTGCTTAGTTCCAACAAACAGCATTTAAGGGATAAATGTAAATATAATATTAAATACTGTAGTAGACTAGGACTGCCATGGTGTGAAACAGTGCTCATGCATGATAAGCATCTGCCAATGCTGAAGAAGGTGGCTGTGAAAAAATTACATATTTGTCATGCATGGATTCTAACTACACCTTGGGTGTTCCTACACTACAGTGCATATATGCTGTTAAAGGAAGGTGTATAAACAGAATGGAATTAATAAAAAATAAGCATAACATAAAACTCTCCAGATTTTGACTATTCCACCTACAATATAACTACCTGGCAGCATGAAGTAACTCTCTTCAAAGGCAGCAAGCAATTACAAGCCTTCCTATTTAAGCACATCTGCTGACTTTCTATTTATTTGCAACTGTTCAACAAAATTTGAGAAAGAACAAAACCCAAAACCACTACCACATACACATACTGAAATCCAGCAGAGGTTTTTGTAATAGATAATTAAAAAAACACAGAAAGATACTAAACTTAACTTTGTTTACAAGCTCCATAGCTATGAATGCTAAACCTGACTTCAACACACGGATAATATAAAGAAACAATACTGACTAACCACCTTTTAAAAATAAAAGTGGCAGTGTGAGCAGAGCATACACATGTAGAAGGATACACAGCTAATGCTCTCATAACTAAAGAGAACATTAAGTATTTTCGTATTATATAATTCATCACACAACCTTGCTTAAGGACATACAAAAATATCGAAAGAGAAAAAAAAGTCTAACCTTATCAAACAAAACTTTAGATTGGACAGTAAGTTTGCTTGCATAGGGTCCTACTCAAGCTCTTCAAGACTCCCTTATACTGGGATTTTTCAGCTGGCATTTCTCAGCTACAAATTCTGCAGAATGCTTTTACATGTCAAAATAGAGATACCAAACTAAATACTGGTTTTTGGTTTACATCTCTCCAGAAGAAAGTGTAAACAATTATCACAGTCTTAAATGGGCCACTAGGTAGCATCTAGATGTTAGCCTTTGTCTTTAAACATCACTCTTGTTCTGATGCATTTGGAACAGAAACATAGGGGTCATACAGAGTACATATATTCCTGTAGCACTAAGCCCTAAATGGTTTGTGTCAGTCTGCTATAACAATCAAAGTAATTTCTAATCCATGTAAAGAGTTTATGCTATATTATCTGGCATAGTGTCAAACATTAGAACTAGAATTTGAATAGCAATACAGTAACTATATGCTATTCAAATCTTGAATTTCACCCAATGGAACAAACTCAGTTTCATTTCAGTACAATTTTGACACCTGCAGTGCTTGAGTTTGCAGCACCACTAATAGGACATATAAATCCAACTTCTCATTTATACTAATATAATCCTTGGGCTTCCCTTTTTAAAATCCATTATCAAACCAACCTACTGAAACCACAACTTTACTATTTTCTTATAATTGTCTAATGTATACTATATGCTGTATTCAATTTAAAGAGAAGTCTACATAGCATCACACTTAACCAGTCTAACTTTCTGTAAGTTAGGTTGATGCAACTGTATAAACAAACTTTTCAGTTACCTAAGCACTGCAGAACTAACATTTACTAACATTTACTAATATTTGAAAAGAATACAGAATTAGGTCTTTACCATCAACACAAACCCGCAAAGCTATACTCTTGCTTCCAGTATAGGCTTTACTCAGTACATAAATTTACAGCTCAAGAATTAGCAGTTTAAAAGTGATTAGTACAGCTAAAAGCTATACCAAAACAAAATTAAAACATATTCAAAGATAATGATTTTTGGTTTTACCTGAAAATTAACATCTTCTTTCTTGAATATTAGTGCTCGAACTTCATCAGGATCTCCATTAAATATAGCTTGAACCAATGGTGGCTGAAACAAAGCAAAAACACAGAATAAACCCCCATTTTAGGTTTTTGTGATACACATACAGTTTTTTGATACATAACAGAAACACAAGATAATGATAAAACAACATCCCAGGCAGTGAAATAAAGAAACCAGCAAGAGTATTCAAAATCAAAGAAATTCCAAGTTCTAAAAGCCTCAAACACACAGACATAATCTAAGCCACTGACAATATATAAAAGACAGGAAGAAAAAAAAAAAGAGTCCAGAGGACAAGCTTATAACAGCTGAAAAAGCTGAAAAGGGAACACCTCATAATAACATTAGGGTTGTTCTTATGTGCTGCAAATTCTATATAGCATAAACAAACAATGCCCTTTTGCATTAGCAAGTGACTAAAGTTACTGCAAGTCTTTCACCTGTTTAGACAGAGTGGGAAAGCAAAGTGCATCAGATAAGCATGGTAACAAATTCACACAGGCATATCTATTACTAAATATAGCAGGATTTCTTAGTAAGTAAGAAAAGCTGCTGAGGTATACTAGCAAGATTTAAGTCAGTCAGTTGAAAAAATAAAATAATTTGAAGCAATAAAAGCATAACCCCCACTGTTGATAATTTCTAGAAAGTGGTACCTTGAATCTAACAGTTATATCAAGATTGTGACTTATGTTAATTTTTATTTTAGCTTAGAATTTCTCTTGCTTAACTATATACTCTATCAGTTCTCAAAATAAACACAGTATATTATTACAATACAGTGATCACATCTGTGGTACTGCACAAATGTACCATTGAATTAAGGAGTGGAGCAGGGAAAACCCATTTCTTTCAAATACATTTCTCCAAGCCTTCTAAAAACCCTTTGCCATTACACAAGAGTTGAGACCTTTTATTGCTGCACCACAGATAAAGTTGTATGAAAAAGAACAGACCCCTTGCAAATATAAAGTCTACCACTAAGTTTCAGCTTTTTCCATTCTTAGTAAGGCAGATTTTACCACCTTGTCTTGTTTCAACATTGTATGTATTCATCCTAATCTTAGGAAAATAACTATTGGTATTTGCGACAGCATCATAAGCAGGAAATATGCCAACAAACAACATGCCTTACCAGCACATTTCCAGAGGGCGATGGACGTAAAGATAAATTTTCCTGAGGCAAATTGGAAATAAATGTGGGAGAATCATCTTCCTCCTCCTCCAAAACAACAATACAGACTCGACTCATTCGAACCGTTTGAGTAAGCAAAAGCAAACAAAAAAATGCTAGAAGTGGTATTTTTGGAACCAGACGGCAGGTATAGCAGTAGGGACCATAGAGGAAATACTTTCACCTGTTTCACATGCCCTCACAAACTTGCGAGTGCTACCGCTGTTGTATTTGCATTTAAAAAGGGACATTCCAATCCCCCCTCACACTTCATTTTTCAGATTTAAGCACCCTGAGACGTTCAAGACACTGCTGAAAAAAAGTTGTTCTTTTAAAAATAAAAATTCCCTAGGCATCGAAACCACAATAACGAAACTGTGGAACAGCTGATAAAAATATCCCAAGATCCAATTCCATTCGAACAGCACTCACTGTCGCACACAGCTGTCCTTTCACGAGCAAATTTGTCTTTGTTAATGTCACAACTTCCACAGCGTCCTTCTACCCCCACAGTGAAATCATTGTTGCAGAAGACAAGACTCGGTCCTACCGAGGACAGAACAAGGAACAATTGCCTCGAAAGAGGCGGCCGCAGCTATTCCCCACTCCCGCAAGGTCAGTTCTAAACCAACCGTCGCAGCCCTTCTGGTGACTGAAAATAAACGCGCCCCCTGATCATCCTGCCGTTCTACAGCTTCCTCTCTCAAAGCCACAAACAGCCCGGCCAAAAAAACGCATCTCGGTTCCAGCAGCTATTCAGGACCTGCTCAGAGGAAAATAATTCTTTCCCATGCAAGAAAAATAGCTGCAACGTGCAGCACGGCTGCAGCACATTTACATGCGATGAGTCAGACCACAGGGACAATGAACTCCTTGAATAATGTTGCCGGTGGAATCCAGCCTCCCCAAACGATAGCGACGCAGCCGGTGTTACTCCATCAGGGACACGAGCAATGCGGAGCGTTCATTTTTCCTTTACCGGGCAGTAGCTGTGGCTTCTCCATCGGGGAATTCGCAAGGCAGAAATACTCTTGAGGAGGAATGCTTCAACAAAACAAGCTAGCTACCGCACACAAAAGCTCAAATTACTGCCTTAGACGACTTCTGCAAAAGCAGTTCATCACTCAAGTGTTTCTTTTGATCACCATGTGAATGCGGTTCCCATGATAGTCTTCATTCAGATTGAGGGGGAGGAAAAAAAAAAAAGAAAAAAAAAATCAGACCCCGTACGTCTTCTCTGAGCCAACTTCTTTATTCGAACATCTGTCACTGCGCCAACCAGATTCTCCTCTTCAGCAAGAGCTTCTGCTTATCAGGTTTTTTTCCTTGACAAACTGAATTATACAATCAGCAGATAGCCTTGCAAAGCTCAAAAAATAACCTGGTTGTCCGAGTCCGTAGGAGCAGAGCAGAAGCCACTGGCACGGCAGCGTTCCCCCTGAGCAGCAGCCTGGAGAGCAGCGACTGCAGCCTGGCAGGGTGAAATGCCTAGTAATGCTCACATGTCACACTTACCAGAGAACCCAGTCACCGCTCCCAGTGCAACTTCCTCTGGCACGAAAAAAAAAAAAAAAGCGCCTTTTTCTTTTTTTGGGGGCAGTCTTTGCAGTTATGGCTGTGCCAGTTTGGTGACTAATGCAGCTGAAAACGTAGAAATCCTATAACTGGAGAAAGAGCGACTGTTTTAATATTTTCCACTGAAAGCCGCAAAGAAATGTGGTGTACTGGCTCTGCTGACTAACTACCGTTTAGGCAGTAAACAATTCCAGCACTTTAACTGCTTTCATATGGAACCGGTCAGAGGAGCAAAACAGTCCCCACTTAACTCATTGAACACAAAAGTCTCCCCACATAAATCCTCTGAAAATTAAATGAAAAGTAAAATCTTAAAGCAATAGGTTGACTATTAAAAAGACAGATATTAAAGACCAAACCCATGGTTTTTTGCAATTAGGACAAAGATACCCTTGAAAAAAATTACATCAATTATCATTTGAATATAATAGTATTATTAAAATATACCATAAAAATAAAGTAAAATATAAAGCCCTACAACTTGCTGAATAAATACTTCAGCTTGTATCTGCCTAAATGGTGCTGGCTTGTGGGTGTATTATGTAAATGGCTTCTGTCAAAAGTTGCTGGATAAGCTTCAGTGTTACAGGAACAGAGGGAGGGTTTTTGCTCCTGCTGTGCAGCATAAAGGCAATTCTGATGTCCTTCAGTGGCTGCTAGGATCAGAATTTGTCAATGGAGAGCAAGTTTATAGCTCTTCAATAAAGTATTTGCACTCAGGTTTCACATATGAAGCCAGGCAGAGAGAAAGACAGGTTTAAATGGTGTGTTAAATGGTTTGGATATAAATAGACATATTGAATTCCCACCTTTGGGGGTCACAGGCAGGAAAAGCTTACATTAGCTGTCTTCTGCAATAATGTTTTCAACAGCTTCACTGCAACATAATATATTGCTTAAATGCCCCCTGGTCCCCCCAATACTTCATGCAGGTGAAGGTTTTTTAAGTGCAAAAGAGCACTTTGGCTAAGGGCTCCCTGAGCTCAAGACTCCTGGCCTGGCAGAGTATAGCACCAGTTTCTGATTCACCATGAAATTTCATATTAAAATTTCCCAAGTCTCACAAACATCTTTATAAAGATATTCTGTTCATTACATAGAGTCCAGTTGTTTTGAAATTTCATACTTCTGGTCTTCATTACAAAAAACCAATTATTTGTACTCTACACTGCTTTGTTCTAGCATTCCAACCATTTATTAAAAAGAAATAACACAGATTCACATGAATACATATGACATGTTCTTCTTGGCCACAGCAGAACCAGTTTTAATAAAAACATGGACATCCTCAAGGCTCAGCTACTGCAACAGCCTATTGTCTGCTACACAACACAGCAACCCCAACATAGAAGACAGTTTGCTTCCTCTTTGTGACAAATATCCTATGGAACAGACATGGTAGCTCATTTCCATAACTAAAGCTTCATTTTTAAAAAAAAAATTAAAAATCAGATTTTAAGGCTACAAGCAAAATACTGACAAAACCCATACTTGAGTTTCATACAATACACACATACTGGCTAGATAATGGTTTTCCAGCTAAGCCCGTATGGTTTAGTGTAAATGAAGAGTCAGTACATTTATACAGTAAGCAAAGGCCAAGCGTTCCGTATCCTTTTGTTGGAATTACCAACTGGACATATTGCTAGGTAGAGATAATGCCCAATTTAGTTCAAATTAACTGAACATTGTCCATTTTTGAGCTTTGCAATTAATGGTCCAAAGTCACCTAGAAATTCTGAGAAAGACTGAAAGTCTTCACACTCAGTTAATTACAAAACACCAGAATATTTTAATCAACTCTGATAAGTATTCTGGAGATCTTAAATATTATTAAAATAAAATTAATATAAACTATTTCCAAAAGCAAGTTAACATATTATATTTTGCCTAACATGATACATTTTTGAATGGTGACATTACTACAGTCAAAGAGTTAAAAGCCAATACGTCACAGTTTGCATTAGAAAGAGAACCAACACAACTGAGTCAATACTATATTGATGTCTACAGTAATTTATACCATGTAAATAAGCAGACAAAAAAAACCCTTCTCACGCTAGGGCTGTATGTGTGCAATTACTTCCATAACCAAAGGAAAACCCAGTTCTAGAAACATTTAGTTTTTGCTCACAATGAACTTGCATTTCTCCCTCCCATTCCCTTCAACCAAAAGTTGTGCCTTCACCTCAACACCTTCCCTAATCATCTCTTCTTTCAACTTCAAAAAACCATCCAAGGTATCCTCTGGTGTGCAAAGTACAGTTTCTAATGCTACCTAACAGGTATTCTGAAAACTGAAAGCTGTTCACAATTCTACTGAAAGAAACTAAACCAAGGTTCCAATTTTTCAGCAGATTATATAGACTAACAACTTTTAGTGTGGGAGAAAAGGTAATAGTAACACAGAACGAAAGCAGAGTAGATTAAATAAGGATTAATTTAAGTCTCCTCTCCTCAAACTAATTTAGGAATCATAACAGATCTCTCCAAGTTATGAAGAATATTGCATCTGAAAAAAACCCTTTTCAGTTTATATTAATAAAACTTAAAATAACTGAAGACAGCAGGTCATCACCATCCATCTTCTCCAAATGTCATATATTTCCAATAAGAAAGCTTATTAAATTAGTAGTAGTAGGAAAGAAGACCCAAAAATGGCCTAACTTAAAAAAAGAATGCCATGTCTACTGGGGCTTGAGTGGTGATCTACCTGATAGCCTCCACAATATCTGTTTGCAAAGTAAGATCTCCATACTTAACTCTCAAATTTCAAAGAGTGCATAAGGATATGCATTTTTGAAAAAAAAAATTAAAAAAAAGCTTTTGCGTTGACATGATAGCTGTATGCAAATAAAAAAATAAAAGTGTTGCAATTTTCAAACTACACTTGCCCTTAAGTAAATCAAGTTCCAACAGTCTTTCATGGGTGGATATAAAGAAAACATATGAGAATGCAACCTACAGGTTAAAACACAGATGTCAGCCATGTCTACATCAGACAGAAAAAACATGAATTCTGAATCAGCTAAAAATAGCAACCTTTTCTATAGATCTGTCCTCTTCTCTAGAAATGGATGAGCAGAAACTGTAGCAGCACTGCTGATGACACTGAAAACCTCGCTGAAGCATATTCAATATTAAAAAACCTACCCAAATAAAGATTTCTCCCTTGTCAATCAGCATTTATCAAGTTTTTTCTGGGCTGAGATTAATCCAACTGGTTTCATTTAATATTTTGTATAATTAAGGATCTAGGAAAGGAAGGAAATTGTTCTGTCAGGTTCTAGTAAAAATGAAAAAATTCAGAACCAAGTGAGTCTTAAGTATCAGCTCTGCAAGGCAAATACCTAATCTGTGGATTTCTTCAGATGACAAAGATAGCTACAGCTCTAAGTAAATAGCCATGTCCCAGTATTAGCAGATTTTTATCACACATAGACAGAGATGAGTGTTTAGCATCACCATGAATCTAAGTTACAATACTTCTAGAATACTTCTCATGAGTCACTCCCCTGAACTTCTCTGCTGTTTCCTTCCCACTCCTGAGGGAATGAGGTGGAGTCAGGAAAGAGAACAGTCTAAAGCAAGAAATTACTACCTTTCTTCCCAATTTTGCTATGTTTATTCCAGAGCTTATGCACAGCTGGGATGCAGGAAAAGGAGAATGGTTTTAACCCTTGGACTCCACATTTCTGGTTCCAAGGACAAGTAAAATAGCTCTGCTTGCACCTCCAGATACCATAGGCAGTTCCTATTTCTTTTTCTCATACAAGTATATAGCCTCTGTTAATCTAGAGAACTATTTTATGTAGTCATATATTATCTTTGAATTAAGACTTTGCAATTAATAAAATCCAGTATCTGAACAGCCATCTCAGCAAAAACTGAGACACAAATACAACAAAGAAGAAAAATAATCCAGCATTCATTCTAACTTTTCTCAATTGGAGTATCATAAGAAAAATTAATAATGTAAAATGTCTGTGATTCAGACAAACTTAATTTGTATACTTAAGCAAACTGTAACTTTTGAAAAATACTTCAGAAATATTATCTGATCAAAAAGCAATAAAATATCTTAAAAGTGATAGAAGTCTGTAAGTAATTTTCTGTTTAAGGCTTCTTGTGCATTTTATATATCTGAATAATATACCTGCAGAGAAACTCTTGGCTGAAGAACCTTACAGCCACCATAGTACAAGATAAATTAATACCTTTAAAACAATTTATCTCTGATATCCAAAATATGAAGTCTATCAATCTGAAAAAAAACTGAGAGCTGTGCACAAACCAAAAACCAGAAAAGCAAATACAAGTCCTATTTCTCTTTAAAGAAGGTGAAAATATGAGGGTACTGAATCTTCGTCACTATTTTCTAGCTAGGATGTCATCCACAACACTTCCCTTTAAGGCCAGATTTAAATTCGCTGGCAGGAGGGGTTTTTTGTGCACTTTCAGTGTACAATCCTGTAATCAAAATCATCAGTGCGTTTTTACATTAACAAACAGCACATAAAAGATGTTCTCCAGTCTGTCTGACTTCAGAGTCTCAAGATATTTTGTAGAAAAAGCGCATGTGCTCTGGCTGGGGGCTCCTATTAATCAGATTATCAGCTGCATACAACAGGAGCCACCTCCCTGTCTTCTGACGGAAACAGAAGGCAGCTATTACACCCAATAGCTTTTCTAAATAACAACCATACAAGTCTGACATTGGTATTGTCAGTCTTGTAAAACTGACTAGAAGTCAAAACAATTCCTGTTTCAGGGAAGAGAGACCACAAAAAGATGTGCCTATCCAAATATATTGATTATAAATAGTTAAGGTAAGTTTGCATCCATGAAGACAGACAAATAGATGTTGACAAACAAGGTAGTATGGTGTGGATTTTGGAC